GCTTTCCCCTCCCCGCTGCCAGGGAGGCGCTCGCGTGGCTTTGCTGGGCGCTGCCAGTGGAGCCAGCGCGCCCTGGAGGGTCGTGCTACACCCAGGGCAGGGGGGGAACCTGTTTTGGGTCTGGGCCGCTGACCCTCAAAAAAATCAGTCAGGGGCGCACACAAGTGAGAAGGAAAAAAACCCCAAATAACCCCTCCCACAGTGCCCCCCCCCAGCTGCCAAGGAGAAAGACACTCCCCAAATTCCCCTCTGCACCACAGGCTGGGGGAAGGGGGGCAGACTTGTAGATTTTGTGTGCTCCAACCCCACAGCGGGGCAGCACAGGCCTCCAGTGCCAGTGCAGGCTCCCCAATGTTGTGCAGAAGCCTTGAGCCTGGGGGGCTGGAGCCAGGCAAACCAGGGGCCTCATCTGGCCCCCGGGACTGAGGTTCCCCACCTCTGACATATGGTATGACTATACTAGCTGCTTTTAGCCACAAGGCTGTGTCTAGTACAAGGTGTCCATACTACCACTTACGCTGGCGTAACTTACATCTTTTGGGAGTTTCATCCTAAATTCATAACTCTGGTCATCTGAAGACGTGGGCTGTGCCCATGAAAGCTCATGATACCATCTACATGGTTTGTTAGTCTGTAACAGTGATCTCCAACTTTTTTACACCCATGATCACTTTTTAAATGACAGAACAAGCCAAGATCTACCGCCCCGCCCCTTCCTTGAAGCCCCACCCTCTCTAGTCTCCTCTTCTCCATCACTCGCTATCCCCAACCCTTATACTGCTGCTTTTTTTCCCAATTCTTCTGTAGGAAGAGGTTTTTCCAACATTTGGCCTGTCTAGACTGGACCAAATGTCAGAAAAACCCCTTCTTTTGGAAGCCCCCTTATTCCTCATGGAAAGAGGAATATAGGGGTAACCGAAAGATTGTTTGCTCTTCCACTAAAAGAAGCAGAAGAACCAATGCATCCCTGGATTCAGAAGTGTTTTTCTGGGATATCTCTGGAATCCTGAAAAACACCCGCAGTCTAGCCAAAACCACACTGGGTTGAGACAGGATGTGTAGGCTCTGGGATGGGAAGGAGGGATTTGGATGTGGGAAGGGGTGAGAGTTGCAAGTTCTGGGAGGAAATCTGGATGCAGGAGAAGGTGGAAAAGGGGATGCTGGCTCAGGGAGGGGGTGCCAGGCCGGACAGTGTTGGGGTCAGATGTAGGGTTAGGGTACTAAGCAAGCCATAGACTTCTGGATGTGAGGATTCAGGAATTTGGGTTTAAGTATGTGAGGGGCTCAAGGCAGGGGGATGAATGCTGCATTAAAACTACTCCCAACACATTTGGTTTATAGGAGAATCTGAGAATAGAAAAACATTAATCCAATCAAGGCTGTAAAAGGTTGGGGGTAAGGAATGACATCTCAAACAAAAATACCAAAGTCCCTTGAATTTTCGCCTTTTCCAGAGAGCTTTGACTTTTTTTCCCCCTGCCTGGATTAAAAAAAATCATGACCTAAGTGTGACATAAGTAAGTTTCCAGACTAACTAATGTCAGATTCCTCAATGTGTGTAGCATGTCCCACTCCCTCCAGGCTTCCCTAATGTGGCCCCAACTTTGTTGGTGGGAGCAGGGGACATAGTACTAGGGAAGGGTGCTAGTGGGTGCTTTGGCAGGAGACAGGGTGCCAGTGGGGACAGAGTTCTGTGGCTGGGGGTAGGGGAGAGGGAACAGGGTGCTGGGAGGGCAGAGGACAGGGTTCTGCAGCTGGGGACAAGGTGCCAGTGGGGACAGAGTTCTGTGGCTGGGGGTAGGGGAGAGGGAACAGGGTGCTGGGAGGGCAGAGGACAGGGTTCTGCAGCTGGGGACAAGGTGCCAGTGGGGACAGAGTTCTGTGGCAGGAGAGTGGGGATAGAGTTCTGTAATTGGGGAGAGGGAACTGGGGAGTGGGGGCAGGGGAGTAGAGAGTGGGGGCATGGGAGTGGAGAGGGGCTAGGGTGCCAGTGTAGGCAGATAGTCCCCTGCATCTGCCTCCTCCCAGGATTCCCCCTCTCCCCCGAGGGAAGCTGGCACGTGCCTCCTCCGGGCCCAACTTTCCCCCTCCCTCCCCAGTGGTGCAGGGAAACCCTGCACGCACCTGTCTCGGGGCTAAAACATACACTCACACACACATACACACACACACACCCCACGGCGCAGGGAAACCCCGCAAGCGCCTGCCCCGGGGCCAACTCACCCCTCCTGCGCTGATGCAGGGAAGTCACCGTGCTCCTCCTCCAGGGCTGATGCCCCCTCCCGCAGCATGCCCGGCAGAGCAGCCAGCGCATTTCCAGAACCCCCGTAAGTGGCGCTAATCTGCAGGACTTCCGTCCACCCGTGGAAAGCCAGCACTACCTCCATTTTTGCTGGAGGTAGGTAGTGGGGCTCCTCGGGGGTGGAGAGGAAAACAGGGGGGGCCTGGACGGATCGATCTGTTGGTGACAACGGCCCTATGGCTAAAATGGCCATCAGGGCTTTCTTGCACAAGAGAGCGTCCACATCCTTGCACAAAAGCACATGGCAGTGTGGATGCGAAGACCTTTTGCGCAAGAACTCTTGCGCAAAACAGTTCTTGTGTAAGAAGCCTGCAATGTAGACGTAGCCACATAGTAACTCCACCTCTGTGAGTGGTGTAGGGCTTATGTTGGTAGGTAGGGAGATGTAGTTTATGATCAGACACTGTGTATTACTTATCTTGGCTGTTGGCTGTTAGTCTTGACAAGCTCCCTGCTCCAAGCCAACCTGCTGCCTGGGCTCCTTGCTCTGAACTGGGATGCACTTCTGGCTTCCCATTTCCAGCTGGGCTACGTCTAGACTGGCCACATAAGACGGAAGAGGCATGCAAAGCAGGCAAGTCAGAATAGGGAAATCCGCGGGGGATTTAAATATCCCCGCGGGATTTAAATAAACATGTCCGCCGCTTTTTTTCCGGCTTGGGGGGATTCCTCCGGAATCCTTCCTACCTTCAGGTAGGAATAAGAGATCCTCCGGAAAAGGGCTTTATTCCGGAGGATTGCGCCAGTCTAGATGCTTTTTTCCGGCTTTTCCCCAAGCCGGAAAAAAAGCGGCGGACATGTTTATTTAAATCCATGTTTATTAAAACCCTGCAATTGTAGAATGATGTGATAAAGCAGTTCAACATTCCTACATCCCCCTGCTGGAAAATACTGCAGTTCTGCAGTGTCTCTGGGTCTGCCACATGTAGCAGTATGGACATCTTTATTTAAATCCCCCGGTGGATACTTAAATCCCCCGTGGATTTCCCTATTCTGAAGTTGAAAATTAGCATGCCCCTTTCGGAAAAGGGGCCAGTGTAGACGTAGCCCTGGAGTTTTGCCTGGGCTCCCAGCTCCCCAGAATGTCTGGCTGCTTCCCAAAGGCTTCTGGTTTCCCCTCTTCCAACTATTTGTCAGATGTTCCCAGCTCCCTACAGTGGGGCGCAGGAAATCAAAGTCCAGGGGGGTCAGCCAGGCTGCCAATGGGAACCTACATGTGGGGCTGAGAGCCTTCGCTGAGGGTCCCCCCATACACACACACATTGGCCCTCTTAAGTCTATGAATGTGCTTCTGGTGGGGATGTGAACCAATAGAGGGAGGGTAGTGTGGACATGCACCACTGTAGTTCTTACAAAGTGCAAGTCAGGACTGAAGTGTCTGTGTCATGAGTAATAATGCTTAGCACTTTACATATTCAGTGCACTTAAATATTAAATAATTAATTCTCACAACACAGACGTGACATTGTTGCGTGGATCACAATACTGCAATTGTAGAATGATGTGATAAAGCAGTTCAACATTCCTACATCCCCCTACTGGAAAATACTGCAGTTCTGCAGTGTCTCTGGGTCTGCCACATGTAGCAGTATGGAGGATTTTATTGTGACACCAAGGAAAACATGGAAACAGTATCACCACCGTGTCTGTTTCTAAGACAGTTTCAACTATTCTTGTGAATAAGAAAGAGTGGCCATGCACAGAGCATGCTGTACCCCACTCTGCAGCACTCCAGCTGGGCTTTGCTCGGTCCCTGCTGGAACTCTGGCAGCAGCTACAAGAAGCGGTTCACTGGGTTTATCCTCCAAACAGTGCCCCTCCCGCTCCAGCAGCAAAAAGCAGCCACCTGCAGATGGAGGAGGTGGCGTGGCCAGGCTGGTGGGCACAAATGGCAGAGGTAGTCCCACAGCAGGAGAGAAGGGTCCACGTAGTGCTAGAGACTTGTCGGACGGCAGTGCGCACTGCACTGGAGCTCTGGAAACTGTGCACCACTGGAAGCAGCCCTGGCTGCCCATGCAAAACACCAAGGGAGCTGCTTACATACTGAGCAGAGGTGGGGTGTTACTGCTGCACCGTGCTAGTGCTGGGTGTCTGCGAGGGTGTCTGAGCAAGGGCAGGAAACGGTGGTGCCATTTGTAGTTGGATCCGAACGGGCTTTCTGGGACATCTGCCTCCTGGATAGGGACACCAGGAGAGAACATTTAAATCCGGGACTGTCCCAGAAAAAATGGAACATATGGTCACCGTAGCTACATCTCATGTGAGCAATGCAATCCCATACATCCATAGGCATCAACTTCCCCTGATCTGGAACCCCACCACCACTCCAGACTTTGCCTCCATTCCACTCCCTTCCCCCAAGACTTGCCCCTGTGCCGCCCTGATCCTCTCCCATTCCATCCCTTTCCCCAAGCCTTCACCCCATGACACGCCCCCCCCCCCATCATTTATGAAATTGACTTATGGACACAATTACACAACTCGAAGATGCTTAGAACAAAATACCTCATGTAACCTGCCAATCTTAATGTCACAATCCGCTGGATCTGTGTATCTTATTTTGGTTTATGTATCATTCTTGTATGAAAAGTTAGAAATATGGAGTATAGAATAGTTTATAGTTTAAAATGTGCAAATAGGAGTCATCAAAGGTGTTTCCCTCAATGTCTGGATGATCACCCGTAAACAGCCCCTTTTGTCCTCTATGTCTTAGCAGTGGTTTGTCTTACAAAGTCATATGACCACCCCAACTGGTAGGGTCTGATCCCATTTGGGAGTCGGGTTCCTGGAAACTGGGCCTGAAACTACATTCTCCTTGGACCTGAAACAACTCAGTATCTGTATTGCTCTTCATGGTGGGAGGAAGGGTTAATCGCAGCTCTGTGCCTTGGCTGGGGAAGACTAGGAGATCTGGCCCAGCAGGACAGAGTGGTGAGAAGCCCTGCAGACCAAAGAGGCGATTGCCAATGGCTTTGTCAGCACACTGGGAAGCACCCCCAAAAGGTCTTCTGTGACTGTACCCCATCACACCCTAGCTCCTCCCCCAAGTACGACCTGTCCTGGCCTTCTCCCACCCCTGAATCCCGCACATCAGTTGTTCACAGTATTCTGGAAAGTTGGTGGAGGAGATAGTCAGTGGGGACACCAGTGAGTGAGAGGTACTAGAGGGGAGAGAAAAAGAAGTGGGGGGGAGAGTTCAGCTGTCAGCAGGTGCTCAGCCCCCATTCATTTTTCTAGTGGGTGCTCCAGCCCTTGAGCACCTACAGAGTGGGCTCCTATACACACATCTGTTTAGACAGATAAAAAAAGAATTTCACTGCTCTAACGTGGAGTTTCTGTCTGGCTTTGGGGTGACCATATCCCTACCCCCATACTAGTTGTTAGAGGACTCTGCCTTTCACAGTAATGTCGGTTCACCCACAATTTCCTGGCCCAGTTTTTGTCCATGGTCATGTTAATTCTGTTCCTCGGAATTTGAATTATGATCGTTAGCCCTCTTGATTGCTGGTTGTGTGCCTCCAGCCTGAGTCCTAAGAAATCCTGGTGAGCAAATCCCATGATTATTAACTGTTTCCTGATCAGATTGTGGGAGAGTTTGAGTTAACATATATTTTTAATTGAAGAAACAAACAAAACTACTGGATCCACTTTTGTTTTTGTCAGAGCTTTCATCTGGAAACATCCCTTCAACCTCAGGACTCTTTCTCCTTGCTCTTCCCATGATCCCGCGAGGCAGGAAGGTAATATTATCCCCATCTTATAAACAGGGAAACTGAGACACAAAGAGGTATCAGAGGCAGACCCAAGAATACACTCAGGAAGTCCTGATTACTGACTCCTGGCCCATTCAAATTCATAACACCCATCCCATTTATCCTTGGGATAGAATCCAGGAGTCCTGGCTCCTGCACCTTAGACCAGGGATCTCAAACTCCTAGGCTCTCAAATTTTCTGGTCTGTCAGGGGATCAGGAGAAGAACTCAGGCCTGGTCATTCCCATGCATTCTGGCTTAAATCCCTCCAGCTAGACAAGTAGCTTCTACTAGACAAGTAGACTTCTGCTTCCCAGCCCTTTTTCACCTAAGGTGAGGCTGCCCATCAGCTGTTGGCAGCCATGCCTGTATTAATCCTTTGCTTGCTGTACTGGCATGGCTTAATATGCCCCATGAGAGACCTCCCACTTTGCACTTAGAGTCCTGGCAGGAATCTCAGTGTTAAGTGGCAGGAGAACATTTCCAACAGGATTACAAGTGGAGGTGGGTGGGAGACGTTTTCCTGGCTCTTGAAAAATTTTTGTGACTTCCATATTTTTCTGCTTCTTGTTGGGATGACCCCAAGTCCTGTCAAAGTTACAGGAGAATGAGAAAGAAGAAGGACAAATGGACTCAGACTTTGACCCCATCACAAGTAACTGCTGGCCAGGGCCCTTGTGGGCTATGGGAGTTCCAGGGTCAAGTCCCTACTCTCTCTGAGTCAGCCAGGGGACGTGGCCCCAGGTTTTTCTCTTGCTAGTTTTAGCCATGAATCCCATCCTGGTCCAAGAATCTGCCACTGAAAGAGGCATGGTCCCTGGGCCAGTTCCTGCCCCCTCCAGTGCCTGGCTCCCTATACCTAGCACATGGGGTTGAGGTACAGGAGGGGTCAGAGCTCTGGGTTAGGGGTTCAAGCTCTGCAGTGTCAGGGATGAAGAGCTTGGGGTGCAGCAGGGAGCTCTGGGCTGGGGGGACTCAGTACTGGGGCAGAGGACTGGGGCACGGACTTATCTCTGGTGGCTCCTGGCTCCATGCTGCACTCCAGAAACGGTCAGCAGTAGGTCTGACTCCGAAGTGGAGACACATAAGCAACTCTATGTGGCTCATGCCCACAGGCACTGCTGCCCTAGCTCCCATTGGCCAGTCCCTGTCCAATGGGAGTGCAGAGCTGGTGAATGGCGTGGGGGCAGTGTGCAGATCCCTGTGATCCTCTGCCTAGGAGCTGAACCTGCTGCTGGTCACTTCCAGAACACATTGGGCCTAGCCCAGTGGTTTTCAAAGAGCAGGTCATGACCCAGCCTTAGCCAGACAGCACTGATGAGACTTTTAATGCCATGGTTGGCAGTGCTCACCAGAGCCACCAGAGTCCCTGGGAGACTGAGCAAGGTGGCCAAGTGCCTTATATTCCTTGACCCACTACTGGGTCACGATCCACACTTTGGAAACCACTAGGTTAGAGCATGGGGCTGGGTTTCAGGACTCCTGGGTTCTCTTCCTGCCAGTGGTAAACTTTCTCTAATTCAGGGCTATGCAAGCTGTTTATGCAGGACACCCTGTCCCTACTTGCTTTTGGAGTAAGGTGCCAAGTTCAAGATACAGAGATTGTTCCAATGTTACCCTGTGCTCAGACTACTAAGCTAGTTAGAGTAATACTTTTGGGAGGGGGGGAAACAGATATAATATTGTTAAACAGAAAACATCAACAACTGCAGTAAATAATACACTCCTCAAATTCAAATGTCAAACCAAATCCAACACTAGATGGCCTCAGAGTATTAAAACAGGATCTAACAACCAGGGTACAAAAGCATAAATAACTGCTGCTTTGTTACTTTATTTGTACTAAGAATATTGTTTAAAGAATATTACATGAGTAACATGACAACATTAAGCAAATTTATACATGATAATTTAATGTTATTAGGAGAGAGAGTAGGAAGTCCAAATAGAGATTCCTAGGTTCAATTCTTGGCTCTGACATTGCTTGCTGTGTGACTTTGTATAATAATACTTACGCAACCTATTATGGGGTGTTCTGGTGCTTATTTTATATCTGCAAAATGCCTTTCGTTCTAGAGTACAAGGTGCTACAGAAGGGCACAGTACTACTATCACTTACAGACAACAGTTTCCATAATGCATTTTTAAAGACAGAACTATAAATAAAGGCAAGATAATGTACATTGAATCCTATAGGACTAAAATAAAGTCTATAAATTGGGCTTCTCATACTGTGGATCATCCAGCTGTTCTTTTTGTTTGCAACAATTTCTCACTTTGCTCATTCTGCCTAAGAACAGGGAGAGCACTGAACACAGGAGCGTTCTGTATTTTAAAGACTTCTTTTACTGCATGAAGGACTACATGTACATGACGACCATGCCCACTGTTTTCTGTTCTGTAAGCGAACTTGTGGGCAGTGGCGGCACATGAAGCTGTTTGCCTGCTTCTCCAGGAACTTATACCAAATGCTCATCCCTGTGGCCTCTGATCATGAATCTGATAGTTAACAAAGGAAGAGCTGTCAGGAAAGGGTGACGCGGGTGACCATAGTTGAGATGGAGCTGGGAGCTGATGACTAGCATGAAAAATGTAGCTACTAGGAAGGGAAAATAAGAAACAAATATAGAGCCATGCAACTATGTTTAAGTACCATCAACACATACTCTACCAGTGAGTGAGAGATGATGGTTGGATTGAATTCCAATGCAGATGGGTTTATATGTCACATTGCCCTGAGCACTAAACGCGCCTTAGATTCAACAGCAGCTTTACTGAGAAGTTGGGAGATACCAGTCTAAATACCTGAGAATATAATACAGCTACTTACTGGAAGATGTTCTCTGCAAAATAGATTGTCTAGTGAACACAATTGTAGCAATGACACAATAGGCCAAACTGTGTCCTTAGTTTCATTCTGGGAACTCCAGTGCAATCAAGAATGGCTGCAGCCCCAATTTGTTCCAAATTGGAGTAGACAAATACACAAGTTGTAACTCTGAGTGGAGGAGCAATATTTTACATGAAAGTAATCTAAGTCACTAAGCATAATAGTGAGGGAGAATGAATAATAATCAAATCAAAACAGCCTGAATTTCCCCTTTGCCATTCAACTACAATTCTGAAGGTGATGATAGTCTGATATTCACTGTTTGGTTGCAGGGATGTCTTAGGCAGTAGTGTTACAAGAACCACCAGCAGCATCCAATAAGGTATCCAGCATTTCAGGTGGATACTCACCAGCTTCTTATAATTTCCAGCATCAAGCAGGAACCTGATGTCATGCAGATAGTACACTGAACTCTGTACTCTTTCTTTCTCTGAGGCCCAATTTATCCTCTTGCCTTCATGCCTTCAGTGGCTGTTAACAGTTTCTTGCACCTTTTCACTTAGCACAAACATTTTCTAAGACACATTCTATAATCATACTGTACCTTGCAGAACATTTTACTCTCCCAACATCTCTGCATTTGGTAGGACTGCTCACCTGGGATGGGGCCTCCATGAATTCAATGACACAGTCACCCCATATCTTACAAGACCTTTGTCCAATGTGGGCCTTTGGGAGCTCATCAATGGGTGATCATTCCTAAATCCTGCAGGAATATTTCCCTGCCTGTAGAGCCTATGTGAGGTCACTGATAGTGTGACTCTAACCACTCACCCAATTGTTCTTCTGCTCTGGCACCACTGAGATGGGAGAGGACTGAGATGGGATTCCCTGTATCCTGCAAGGCAGCGCCCGCATTATTATTTGTATTATACTAGTTCTGATAGCCCCCACAAGAAATAAGATCCCCATAGTGGTAGGTGCTGTAAGGTTACTGATTGGGGTTGGCAATCTCACAAATCTGATTTTTGTCATGAATTAAGTCAGCTTCCCTTTGAGGGCTCATTCACCAGGACATTGACTCTCACTCCTTCATCTATCTTTTTGCCTTGATATAAAAATCGAATAGGGGTCCCTGCAGGGGGGTGTAATGCATGCCTGGGCTTATTGGTCTTTTTTCCCATTGCCCTTTATAAATACGGTCTGCAGTCTGCACCTCATCTTAGATCTTAATTTGGGTTTCTAATTCTGTTCAGAGATGCTGCAATGACAGAGAGGGAGGAGACACAATGAATTTGGTTCTTCTCTCATTTACACTAACATAAATCCACTAACATCAGTAGAATTATTTCTGATTTATATCGGTTTAAGTGAAGTGAGATTCAGACCCCATGATCTCTGTGGGTCTTCCAGAATTTTAACTCCCAAGAAGCCAGAGTCCTTGAATGCACTTGTCCAGTATAATATCAAAAAAATCCACCTCTAGTCTCTCCTTTTTATTAAAAATATTGCAGTGGGTTGTGAAGAATCTTTGATCACAAGAATGTTGGTAACATTCAGAAAAGTTTTTCCTGCACACATTCTGTTTTGGTTACCTGGCTTAATCTAGGTTAAAATGAGCATTGAAAAGGTCTACAAATGTGCATAGCCCATGTGTGGAGAGTTAGAATTTAAAATGATGTTTCTGAATATTGTACAGTTAAAATGGTTGCCTACAAAACATACCAGGCAGGTGTTGAAATCGAACCAGTAATTACTTATGCCGAATGTTACTTAATTGGTGGTAAGTATGTTGAATTTTTGTGAAGAGCTGTTTCACTGCTGTGTTCTGCTTTGTCTCTTTTGACAACTTTTTCCACTGGGGTTTCCGGTTCTTTCTCTGAAATAACTTGTTTGGTTGGGTTCTGTGCTTTATTTTCCATTGTATCTGAGGAAGGTGTGTTGAGGGTTAGTCTTTCATTTACAGCAGTAGGATTTTCAGTCAGTTCACATTTTACTTTATCAACCATATCTTGACAGGTGTTTTCGTCTGTAAAAAATAAAATACAATGACAGTGTGCAACTGCAGTGTGAAAGCAGCCCACATTAAATCTTCAAACGGGCCAACTGATTATTTCCTCAACATTTCAGAGGGGCAGAACCATGAAACTGAAAGCACATTTTTCTGCTCTAAGAACTAAAGTGTATTGTGGATGCTGTTTTTGATTATTTTCCTATCAAGATAACAGTATGAAAGCTTTTTCTGCATGAACCTATGGGACATAGTTATTATTTACCCTGCTGGCTGCAAATAAACCACAGAACCCACAGGATAACTCTCTGTTTCTACACAAGCAGCAGGAAAGAGTTGATGTGGCCTCTGGAGGATGCTATGGCTTTAGGTATTGCCTTCATTACTCCATCCTTTCTTTTAACAAAGCCATTTGCTCAAATGTGAAGAAGTCTAGAAATCATGTGTCAACATATTCAAGAAATTAATATTATTAAGAATAAAGTACTTAAAGCATTCAGTCTACAGCACCTCCTTGTCCAGGCAGTGTATGTTTATGGATACTCTCCTTTTTCTTCTCTGTTGTGAAGAAGGAGCTTTCACTTGCCGAGTGGGGATTTTGTCTTGACTTCTGTATTCTTGGTTCCTGGATCCATGCATGCTGCATTGCTTCATCTGGAGTCATGCGGAGGGCTGGTTCCCACCTTCAAATATACAAACAACAGGTAAGTATTGAACAGTATTTTTAATAATACTATAAATGAAGAATAAATTCAATGTAGGTTAGGACGGAAAATATTTTCGCTGTCTACAGGGGACATTTTTCAAATTCACAAAAAAAACCAAAAAAAGCCTATTTAACTTTTCCATAATCGCATTTGCTAAAAACCTCTTTCTGCTTTACTGATCAAATTCTGTGCAGTATCAAACAACCAATTCTTACCACAGATACTCACCTGCAGATCACAGTATTATCAGAAGGCTCATTCTGTATATGTGCCCAAGAGCCTTAAAATCCTAAAATAATTGACATTTGCTCCAAGAACTGATGTTAGAACTGAGGAGCAGTTGCAATCCACTAGCAGATAAGTACTTTCTCAGTGAATGGTATCTCTTACAAACTGTCAACTACCATTTTTTTACTAGTCTAATGTCCAGACTGTCCATGGTGCCCATTAGAACTCGGCAGAGACATGGTAAGAAGGAAACTGACACACAACATGGCAGTGGGGGCTACCACAGACCCCTGAGCAAGGTGCGGGGGAGGCCCCAGCTCTGTGCCCTGGAATGGGCAGAAGGGGCAAGGCCGGGGGCAGCTAGCTCTCAACACAGCCTGGAGTGCTCAGCGATGATTTGAAGGGCCACGGCTCTGGGCACTGCTACTGTTGCAGTGGCAGCGGTGGCAACTGGGAGCCCCAGACCCCTTTGAATCGCTGTCCCCAGAGCAACTGCTCCCTTTGCCCTCCCACTCCGCTCCATCAGTGGGTCTGCTACACCAGAATAATTAATGAATGTTTCTCATTAAGAAAAATATTTTTCTTGTAAAGAGGTTACTCTTCAAAACAATATAACAGCAAGTTGAGATTTACAGGAGAGCAACCCTACAAACAGAGATTTTTTAAGGCTTTTTCAGGAGAGTAATTATAACTGGTAACATCATCTTGCACAGAAAGCACTGAATGCGGCCCAGAATTCCAATCTTACATAGTGCCGAGACAACACTAAAACAGGCAAGAGGGCTGATGCTGCTGTCACTCACATGGATGTAAATCAGGAATGTAAAACTCCTCTAGAGCCAAGTTACAGCAATGTAAATGAGAGCAAAATTGGGGTCATTGTTTTCACAATTCAACCCTTCACTCACTAAAGTTTTTTATTTTAGCTGGTGAATAAAACATTGTTAGTGTGATTATTAACATCCATCGTTCTAGCAAAGAGCAGATGAGTCGATTTTTGTGTATAAGTTGCTAAATCATTGTGACAGTTTTTGCCTCAAGACACTATTAAATCCACCTTCACCTGTTGAGTTGTTATTTTAGTCTCCACCACTTCTGTTTTACTAGATAAAAGAAGACAGACAATCAGGACCCCGCACCACACACCAGTATGTCTGTGAGGTGCAATCCTGTGAAGTGCTCAGCATGTTCTTCAGCTCCCAAGAGTTTTGCTTATAAATAAATATTGCCTATTTCCTAGAACTAGAAGGGACCTTGAAAGGTCACTGAGTTCAGTCCCCTGCCTTCACAGCAGGACCAAGTACCATTCCTGACAAATTTTTGCCCCAAATGGCCACCACAAGGATTGAACACACAACCCTAAGTTTAGCCAGCCAATGCTCAAACCACTGAGCTATGCCTCAGTTTGATTCATAACAGGTCACCTTTATTTTGTGATAACAGGTGACCCACTGGCAACGTGCTGGAAACTCAAGTGCAGCACTTAATTTGCAAAAGAATGTACAGGGTGTTTGTTGTTGTTAAAAAAAGAAATTAAGACAGTTATGATGTTTGCTGAGTCCACTTAGAAAAAGAGCAGCAGGTGGAGCAGCAGGTCAAAGACACACCTTTGCCTAACCAAATAAAAAAAGCATTTAACGGGCCCATTGTTGAGTAGCGTAGAATCATAACAGGAAGGGCATAACTTAAATTCTAGGTTTTAACTTCCACCATAACAGTTCATTTCCCGGTAGTGGGGAGAGAGAAGGAAAGTCTCAGAGCCTCCTAGCTATGAAAAATGAGTAAAAAATTTCTTTAAAAGCTAAAGAGCAAAGTAAAAGTTAACCTAACTAACCACTACCACTAACAGCAATAGCATCGCAGAAAAGCAGGAAAACACTGCAGGTATTCCACCTCACTTCACTGAGGGTAAGAAGGCACTCAAGTGTGGTTAGATTGGGACAATTCCATCCTCTATGCCCCCAGGTAAGGTGGGAGTGATTCAACAACATTCAGTGTACAGGCTTGTCCCCAATAGACGCTGCTGGCTAAAATAATCCAGTTTTGCAGACATAAAGCGCATGCACAACAAGAGTGGGATCCAAGCGGACAAATATTCAAAGAAGAACCAAGTCTTTTACATCATGACATTTTTCTGCTGGTCCCTTCCAGAGCATATCATATTTGTGGTAGTCCGAATCAAATGCCCAAAATGACTCCCATCAAAGTGAATGGAAAGATTCCCATCGGTTGCAATGGGACTTGGATTATTACAACAGCTGTTGAACACAAAATTGAGAAGAGATATAGGGAGCTGTATAGTGTGATTCTACTCTGCCACCAGCTATATTACCTACATAAAACTTTACCTAATTCAGACTGCAGTGGTTAATTACTGGGGCTTTTGTAAATGAGAAAGGTTGCTTTTGTGATTGTCATGAGATTCAGAAGCAGGAGATCTGCATTTTATTTCTGGCTTTGCCACAGACTTCCTGTGTGGTCTTGGGGAAATCACTTAAAATATCGGTGTGTCAGTTTCCCTTTCTGTAAGTGGCAAATAATACTTTCTTGTTGTGACGCTAAATTCATTACTGTCTGTGAGGCACTCAAATGCCACATGGATGAGCCTATAAAATAAACATTGATGAAAAACTGAGAAACAAAAATTTGTAAAGGCATAAGAAAGAAAAAGCAGGGATTTAATGTAAAAAAGATGGAGAAAATAAGAAAGTAAAAAGTAACTTACATTAGACAACCTCTCAGAAAATCCAGGAAAGCAGCATCTTGAGTTTTTAATACGGTACTTAGATCCTTGGAGTCTGGGTGTCTTTTTTTCCCTCTGCTGTTTGTTATAGTTCTAGGAAAACCTCTGGAATCTTTAAAAATAAAATAGGCCTTTTAAAGTCGTGTCAACATTTTGCCCAGTAACTGTTTAGCAGTAGTCATAATACTGCTCTGTGGGAGTGTGACCTTTATAGTGTTCTACAAGGAGATTTAAATGTATAATGAAAATAACAATGAATTTCATCCAAAAGACCCCAAAGTTCTTCACAAATTTACACACAAGAACTATCTTCACAAATTTACACACGAGAAATATCTCTCCCTACCACTGAACTTCCCTCAGGTGAAATGTGACAACTGTTTGACAATACAGAAACTCACTACACAACTGCTTAGGATAGGAAGTGAAAAAGGCCATGTCCCATTGAAACTTATTGAATCTTAGGTAGGTTGAGTATATTTGCCCAACTGGTATTTAACTAGAGCACTGTGAGCCCTACTCTGGGAGAAGCTTCTGAGGTGGCATGGAGAATTCTCTCTCTCTCAAGGGCTTGGCTGGCTGGTTCTTGCTCATGCTCCAAGTCTGACTAAGCACAATGGATGGGGATGGGAAGGAATTTTCTTGCTGGTCAGATTGGCAGTGACCTTGGGGTTTTTCTGCTTCTTCTGCAGTAGGCAAGCATGGCTCATTTGCTAGGATTAGCTTCATATTTTTCCCTCAATCATTTTTGCCATTTCAGGGACCTCAGCCTTCCCTCCTCCCCCTGCCCCGCCCCGCCCCACATAATATTCTAGTCTCCTGTGGGATGTAATACTTTGGTCCCATTTGGGATGTTTGTTTTAGTGTGCAGGTCCTGGGTGAGGGGGTGGTGGCTTGTGATAAACAGGTCAGACTAGCTGATCTTTTGGTCTTTTCGGGCCTTAAACGCTATAATTCCTCCTTAATTAGAGTAAACTCCTTATTGAAATCAGTGGGGAAAAAGGCGTGAAAATGAAGTCCTGCACAGGGTCTTATGAAATAAACTAAATGAGTTTTTCCATATTACATCTGTCCTACAAGTAATCCCTCTACCATAGCTATCTGAAATTACACAGATTGAAACTGTGGTGTGCTATCAATTTACACTTTTCAGGAGCAAGGTGTAATCAACTCTACTAAAGAGCACTTACTACAAATTTGTCTCTTAAGTGGTGTTACCTCCTGTCATGGCTTTAGCAATGAGAAAACACTTGTTTTAAAACAAGAAAACAAACATAGCTGTCTCAGGCTCTCCTCTGTTATCTCTACAGTGGGAGTCCCTGAAACTATCTAAACTATCCCTAGATTTTTGTATAGTCCTCAAATTATTTATTTCTCATGGATAGTCATTCAAACCATTTTGGGGAACAAAGTGGTAATCCAGGTAAGAAGAATCTGAAGATCTTCCAATCCCATTCTCCATCTCAACATCAAAGGCACTAGCAAAGAGCAGACTTAAAGCAGAGAGCATGATACAAGAATAAAAGATAACAACAGGTGCTTACCAAAGAATGTTCGTCTTCTTGATGCAGTCTGGATAAAATCAGATGGTGGAAGACCCAATATCTTCAAGACAAAAAATTAATACAAGGAATTATTCACTGTTTCTTGAGCATCTGTAGCAGCCTTGGCTAAAGATGGCTGTGTTGTGTCTCTTCTGATGTAGTAATTTACAGTGTCTACAATTCCCTCTGTTACACCCTCATTTTGAATGTGCCTTTCACTGCAATACAATATCTAAGGTCCATGTACAGAGCTAAAGAATGTTGAGCAGCAAAGTGATATGCTCTCATTAGTTGGCCTTGCCTAGAAGACTGATTGAAACACACTGTACCCTATCATACCTTTAGTATCACATTCATAATTGGCCCCAGGTAAAAAATGTATTAGGAAAAGGAGAAAAAATAAACTATTTTATATTGCTTTACTTCACCCTTAGAGTTAGACAGTATTTCTTTTGCTAGCACAGGTCCCTACCCTTCTGTTCAGATTACAGTGTGTTCCCCATATTGACAGAAATAATGCAGTAACTGAACTGAATCACTACAGGGAGCTGATTTGCCACAAAAAGAGGAAGCAGCTGCCTCTTCCTTCTCATTGAGGCTCTTGGCTGTGACAAGCTTCCCTCTCACAGCCAGCCCACCTAAAAAAAAAAAAAGAAAGTTCTGAGTCAGCTGATATATTGTTCTGTTCTTGGGAGTGTGGTTTAGCAAACAGCAGCTGACCTGTCATTCAAAAACTCATGTCAATGAGCCCCTGAGGAAGGAACCGGTCAAACAATTCATCAAATTACAAACTACTTTGTTTCCAAGACCTGAATGTAAAGGATGGAGGAAACAGCACTTTAATGTCATGACTAAAAAAACCCCCAGAAGCTACCTCCATGATGCAGGCAAGTTGTTCTACTTCATTCTCTCCTGGAAAAAGGGGATAACCTGTATAAAGTTCAGCCATAATGCACCCCAGGCTCCACATATCAATAGGAGTAGCATAAGGATGACCAAGAATCACTTCGGGGGAGCGATAAAATCGGCTTTGAACATACGTATACACTGTGTCAAGAAAGAAAAACAGACACAAAAGAACATAGTGTTGTCAGGGCAGCAATTCTCTTTACAGAATCATAGACTGTAGAGAAGACAAATACATAGGTTATCTACTCCTTCCCTCATGAGCCAGAGGGGGAATATTCCCTACCATATGTTTGTAATACTTCATCCAGTTCCATTTTAAACTGCATGTGATGGGTCTTCTTTCATATCTTTTGGAGACTATTTCACAGGGCAACGGATCTTGCTCTTATGAAATGTTTCCTGATATTATTCATACATATATCCTTAGTTCATTCCCTTCCATGCAATTAAACTCCTAGAATCAGCCCAAACAATTCTTCCCTATCTATGGGTGTGTCTAGACTACAGGGTTTTGTCGACAAAGGTGGACTTTTGTCAACAAAACTATACCTGCGTCCACACTGTCTTTGAGATATGTCGACATAACGTCGACAAAACTCAGCAGTTTTGTCGACGTGTGTAAACCTCATTCTACGAGGAATAACGCCTTTTGTTGACAGAGTTCTGTCGATAGAAGGCATTATTGCATCTACACTGTCCTTTGCATCCACACTGTTATGTCGACAAAGTGGCTTGCTTTGTCGACAGAACTGGATGTAGTCTAGACGCTCTTTGTCGACAGAAGCTTTGTCGACAGTATCTGTCGACAAAACTTCTGTTGACAAAACCCTGTAGTCTAGACATACCCTATAGGTGCAGTCCTGCAAAGGAATTTTCTAGCACAAAGCAGAGACTATTTGGTGAAATTCTGGCCTCACTGAAGTCAATGGCAAAACTTGCATTGACTTCTGTGGCATTGCAATGTCATCCACTGTCTTAATTAGGACTCCACACATGTGCCAGCAGATCACATTCCAGGACTGGGACCACAGTGAGTAAACCACCCTTTTATTTTGCATTAGCTTTGTCACTTTTCTCTCCTCCATCAAATCTACTAGTCTTTTAACTCCTGTATTTATCTTTTGGCTTTTCTTATAACTCCCTCCTGTTCAACACCTTACTGGGACCAAGATGCTCTAAAACATAAGGGCTGTGTCTAGACTGGCCAGTTTTTCCAGAAAATCAGCCGCTTTTCCGGAAAAACTTGCCAGCTGTCTACACTGGCTGCTTGAATTTCCGCAAAAATACTGACTTCCTACTGTAAGAAATCAGTGCTTTTTGCAGAAATACTATGCTGCTCCCGTTCGGGCAAAAGTCCCTTTTGCACAAAAGGGCCAGTATAGACAGCTGAGATTTGTTTTCCGCAAAAAAGCCCAGATCGCGAAAATGGCGATCGGGGCTTTTTTGCGCAAAAGCGCGTCTAGATTGGCCATGGACGCTTTTCCGCAAAAAGTGCTTTTGCGGAAAAGCATCCATGCCAATCTAGACGCTCTGTTCCAAAAATGCTTTTAACGGAAAACTTTTCTGTTAAAAGTATTTCTGGAAAATCATGCCAGTGTAGACGTAGCCAAGCAGTATTGTATTTGCAATTTCTCAGAAGTGCATAAGGAGTGATGGCACATAGATTGGCCATGGACGCTTTTCCGCAAAAAGTGCTTTTGCGGAAAAGCATCCATGCCAATCTAGACGCTCTGTTCCAAAAATGCTTTTAACGGAAAACTTTTCTGTTAAAAGTATTTCTGGAAAATCATGCCAGTGTAGACGTAGCCAAGCAGTATTGTATTTGCAATTTCTCAGAAGTGCATAAGGAGTGATGGCACATGTTATGTTTCTTTGTGTGCTTGACCAACATCTCATTGTTGGGGGATTTTGTTTTTGTGCCATGTCATACTACGAACTAATATCCAACTTTGTCTTCTACTAGCTGCTCTTTGGTATCTTTCAGTTACTGCTTCCCATGTGGGAGGAGGGGTCCTAAAAACCCTCAAAGCTAATAGGAGACAAATTATGCTTCACATATCTTCCACTGAATTTCTACTGTTCAAATTATTCTTCTCCAGATATATTCCAGGGTGAATTTCTTATTATCTTGTACCCAAATATGGGGAAACCTAAAATGACTAATCTATTTTACAAAAAAGCAGATTGTATAAATCTAAGCATTCCAAAATCTAGAGTAGCGTGATCATCTGAACTTGTATATATCGGCTGAGTGGAAAACTATGTGGAGGAGAACATAGAACACAATTTGTTTTTTCCATGCTTAGTGAAAATGTCATGTAGGTTTCTCCCTTTTAACAAGTGCTACAGCCTTCTTCACATTTAGATCACTGTTGAACAATATATTTATTCATAAGGTTGTGCGTTCTTTGTCATCAGTTGATTTGTGAAACATATTTTATATTTAATTTCATTTTTATGGATATTGTTTGGTTTATTCTTTGTACATTCTTTTTAAATCTTATCAAGAAAAGTATTTTTAAAAGCTGTTAAAATAGCTGTATAGTGTCCAGTGCCCTGAGCTGCTTTCATTGCATTGCAACTCAGGGAAAAGATACATTTAGTCCAAAAATACATGAATTATGACTTAACTGACTAATAAAAAAAGGATATCAGGGTTCGATCCTGTCAACCCACACTGATGAGAGTAAGTTTTATTGAAATTAGTGGGGCTATTCACTTGGATCCACTTCAACCCCCTACACCTGCTAAGAGCAACTTCTATATCATCATCAAGCATCAGCATCATACGTGGTAGATCAGAGTCAGCAATGCAGGAGAAAGTGCTTGTAGGTGACACACAGAGAACACCATTGGCTTACTAGCTTAATAGATGCAAATGATGGGCATGTGCCATTGTCTTATCTTAATGAAAGAGACATTTCTTCCAGTTATTAAAAATTAAGAAATCTAATTAAGAAAATTACATCAACTTCACTTTTCTGCAAACCTCTTTGGTGTTCATAGCAGCTTGATCCAAAGTCAATAACTTTTACTGAATTTTGGCCTTTGTGGTATAGTAATATGTTCTCCTAAAGAGGAAAAATAAAAAGGGAAAAAGACAATAACAGGCCAGTAAGTTAGCAAACTCTCCAGCAAAAGTCATGTACAATATGATTATGTTATGCTTAACTCTTTAATGTTCATATAAATCACTTTATCTTGTCTGTTCATGCAGTTTACTGATACTAAAGGGCAATTATGCCCAATTATTTGAAATAAGACAAAACTCCAAGGTTACGTCTAGACTGGCCCCTTCTCCGGAAGAGGCATGCAAAGCAGGCAAGTCAGAATAGGGAAATCCGCGAGGGATTTAAATATCCCCCGTGGGATTTAAATAAACATGGCCACTGCTTTTTTTCCGGCTTGGGGAAAAGCCGGAAAAAAGCGTCTAGACTGGCGCGATCCTCCGGAATAAAGCCCTTTTCCGGAGGATCTCTTATTCCTACCTTCAGGAATAAGAGATCCTCCGGAAAAGGGCTTTATTCCGGAGGATCGCGCCAGTCTAGACGCTTTTTTCCGGCTTTTCCCCAAGCCGGAAAAAAAGCGGCGGACATGTTTATTTAAATCCCGCGGGGGATATTTAAATCCCCCGCGGATTTCCCTATTCTGACTTACCTGCTTTACATGCCTCTTCCGGAGAAGGGGCCAGTCTAGACATAGCCCAAATGAAAGTCATGAAACAGAGGAAGAGGAGGAAATAGGGCCCCCCCCCAAGGGAGTCAGAGGCTCTGAGCTTCTAGGATCTACAGCTCTGGGGCAACCCCAACCATGCTAGGATTTCCAGCTTCTCTGTCATGGATCTGGGAGTCCCAGACTATGTCTAGACTACAGAGTTTTGTAGCCATTTTTCCAACAAAACTTGACTTACGTCCACACTGCAAGCACATTCTTTTGACATAAATCGAAAGAACAGAGGACTTTTTGCAAAAAAGCTCTTTCGCAAAAAGGCACGGGTGGACGGGGAAGAGGGAGTTTTTTCAGAAGGAGAAGAGGAAAAAGCATAGATGCCCTTGTGGCCATTCTGTCCATAGTAATCGCAGCTTACATGCGAGATAGCATCCAGGCCGTCTGGATGCTATCTTTCAAAAAAGCGCATTGCTCCTTTTGCAGTGTCAACACTCTCTTTTGCAAGAAGTTTTTTTGGAAGATCTCTTCCGAAAAAAAGCTTGCGCAAGAAGACTGTAGTATAGACGTAGCCTCAAAGTCCCTTAAGTCCCCTTGCTAACTGGGGCTTTGCTCATGAACCCTGGCTCAAGCCAAGGACCTCAGAGCTTTCAGGATCCCTGCTGGAGAACTGGGATCCTGGAAGCCCTGGGACAATTTTCTATGATCTGTGGCTCTAGTGGGGAGGGGTGAAACTGAAAAAGAATGTCAGTTTCAGTCTGCAGCTGGTAGGGTTCCAGGGAACGGATTTTGTGTCCAAAACAGCATGTGCTTAACAGTTCCCAAATGGATACCTACTGTGACAAACTAGTTTTATGGATTATTTCTAGGGCTACTAGGATGCACTGTGTCTTGGAAGAAAGGTCTGATGCTTTTGGATGCCAAAGCCAGGACGTGCTGCCCCTGGTTCTCCTTTAGCAGTAAATGGACATTGTAGGCGGCTAGCTATGCCCTCCATACTTGCTGTAAGCTTCCTCCCCGATGCTGCATCCTGCCTTCTCACACACGTACTGTGTCACAAATAGGGAATCTGACAAATGCCATTGAGTTGTCAGTAAGGCCTCTGCTAGCTTGGCCTATTAGTGGGGCCTTATGAAAGTCATGGTCCATTTTAGTCAATTTCATGGTCATAGATTTTTATAATAGTAAGTTTCATTATTTCAGATATTTAAATCTGAAAATTCATAGTGTTGTAACTGTGGGGGTCCTGACCCAAAAGAGTGCATTGGGAGGGTCACATGGTTATTGCAGGGTGGTTGTGGTATTGCCACAGTTGTTTCAGAGCTGGGACCTCAGTTAGCAGCTGCTGCTCTCTGGACAGCTTGCTCTGAAGGCAGTGCAGAAGTAACAGTGGCAATACTGCAGCCTCCCCTACAATAACTCTGAGACCCGCACTGTGACTCTCTTTAGGTCAGGATCCCCAGTAAACCCTGGTCTCCCCCCTAATATCTATATAGTAGGGTAAAAGTACAGAAATGACCAGATTTCACGGGAGAGATCCAATTCCAAAGTCAGTGATGTGTTTTTCATGGTCTTGAATTTGGAAGGACCTTACCTATTAAAGAACCTATCAGCAAAACAGATCTTCAATGATATTCTGTTTCCCCCTAAATATACACTGTACATTCACATCTTAGCGTGCTACATGCTGAGCCCCCATGTGTATAAACCCGAAGTATTTCTATTGTTCACAGTACACTCTTAGGGTACGTCTACACTACAGCGCTAATTCGAACTAACTTAGTTCGAATTAGTTAATTCGAACTAAGCTAATTCGAACTAACGCGTCTAGAACTAAAAACTAGTTCGAATTAGCGTTTTGCTAATTCGAACTAGCAAGTCCACATTGAGTGGACTCTGAACAGGGCTTAAGGATGGCCGGAAGCAGTGCTGGCAGGGCATCAGAGGAGGACTTAGAGCGTGGAGATGCTGTCTCAGGCTAGCCGACGGCTGCGATTAAAGGGTCCCAACCCCCACCCCGGACAGACAGTTCTAAGGGGTGCCCCGCTTGCAAAGCAGTCCTGGCTTGGATTACCCGGAGTACCCACACTGGGCACATCACACCACTCGGCCATCAGCCCGGCTGCACTTGCCGCAGGCTGCCATCTGG